GACACAAGCGCTGCAGACAGGCTCTGGATGAGCAAGGGTGGCTTTTAACCATGAATTACCCTTTTAACCATTCACAACTGTGTGAGGCTGTCTGCAGGCAGCTGCTGAGAAGACAGCCCAGGATGTTTCCTGTGTGGTATCTGAGGTAACTCCTTGCTCACATCCTTGCTCCTGCAAGAAATGACCAGGGGATAGAAGCTCACCTCTGGATCATAAGGCTTGGGAAGATTGTGTGCTGGGGCAGAGCACATGGAGGAGAGATGCTGGGAGCCTGTCTTGTGCTTCGTTCCCATGATTTAGCGCAGCCTCTGGCTCTCTCAGTTTCATAAGCTCCTTATAGATCTGTTTTTACTATTCTAAACAGTCACTTTCCCATCCTTAAATAATTTCTATTTCACTCTATTTTAAAATTATTCCTTTTCCTCACCATCATTTCCACATTTCCTTCACTATGTTCCCAGTGGGTCTGACACTTCTACATTAATAGAAGACAGTGACCTGTGATAAAAATACATTTTTATGGAGTGCTTGGACAGGAAGCATTACAAGACCTGAGCAGGACATAAAAATACAATAAAGTATATGAAAATCCAGCTCTGATAGATTCATTGCCATGAAAACAGAAACAAGTGAGCAGACACCTTGGCAAAGACTCAATTTTTTGTGCAGCATTCATGGAAGCAGGCAAGGGACAAAAGCTGTTGCAAAGTTATTTGGAATAGGGAAAATAGTGATTGAACAGAGATGACACACTTGGACATTCTACATTTTGTAAGCTAAAACAAAGAGATGGGATAAGAGCTGAAAAATCACCTGTGAGAGTTTATATAACAGCACTGGGTCTGTTGGACAGTGGAATCCCAGTAACAGATCAGAGAACACAGTTTGTCTTGACACCACCCAGAAATCTTCTGCTGAAGTGCAGGCCAGGACTCTGCACTCCAGCCATGATGGGGAGAAGTTGAGAGCACAGGGGAGAAGGTGCTGGACAGAAGAACTGGCCTTGAGGTACAGTTTTAATTGCATTGATGTTTCAGCTCACACCTGAAACTGAAAGCACCACCCCAGTGTGCTTCCAGATCTCCAGAGCACACTGAAGAGCAGAAAAGGGTCTCCTCCACCAGCTCTGCCTGGACATACCCTGGCCAGAGTACACTGAGCTACCCAGGAGAGAGGGTAAAGAAGCTATCCAGCACTAAATTGGAGAAATTGGAGAAACGAACTCTGATGAGCATTCCCAAGGACAGGAGAATCCATACATGTTTGTATCCATACTACTGAACAGAGCCCCAAGACCATACACTTCTTCTTGACTACTAACAGTGGTCAAGCTCCAGTGCATCTGCCTCCTTGCAGAGCCTTTTCTCCTGGGCAGGAAATGCCTGCCCAGCCCTCAGGAGTTGGAGATCCTGCAAGACTCAGTGTAGGCAGCTGGCCTCTGTGGTAGCAATAGCAGAACAATCTTGGACCTTGAGAGCTTTTACTCCTGTGGGGAAAGCATGGGCTGAGCTAAGCTGTGGACTGGGTATGCCTGTTTCTCCTTTTGGAAATTCAGCTGCCAGTGCCACAGAGCAACAGGAAAAATCAGGTTCATTTCCACAGAGATTTTATCATCTCAGTCTTGGCATGGGAGAGGCATCTCCACCCAGCTGTGAGCAAGTGAGTGCATTTTGCCGGCTTTTTTATGTAATCAGAACAAATTACTTGGAGATGAGTCACAGGGTTTCAAGGGTGTCCAGAGAGATGTCAAGCAGCCGCAAGTGTAAATCAGTGACACACCTTGCTGAGAGGACTCCTGCTCACCAGCAGGCCCATTTTCCCTGCAGATACCAGGCAAGGGAAGTGGCTTGAGGGATATTACCCAACAGGCTCCCACAATCCACACACACGTGTGGCATCTGTAGACCCAGGACACTGCTGGTGTTTACATTCCCTCTGTAAAGACAGTGATGTTTTCAGGGTGGAGCTGGAGTGCTTCCCTGCAGCTGCTCTCTAGGCTTAAACACTGAAGATTTAAGGACATTCAGGCTGGGGGAGTTTGGCAGTCATTGAAGAGATCTGAACTTCAGAAAGACAGGTTCTGCCCCACCAAAGCCTGGTCAAACTGCAGAGGTTCTTACCTGGGACTCTGCACAGATTCATTGTGGTGGAACAGCTGCTTCCCATTGCAGTTGTTTCAGTGCTGTGATGATGCTATGATAAGTGAACCTGTTCCATTCCCCTGCCCAGGAATGAACACTCCAGCCTCCATGGATCTGCAGGCCCGAGGACAAAGATGACTCTTGCATAATTTCAAGGCATAGCCTGCTTCAGTGGCTTCTTTAGAGGCTGAAATATAGAGGAGGACCAGGAAGATCTAGGCCTGAACACAATCCCAGAGGTCCAAAGTAACACAGAGAAAAATCCTGTAGACACACTTGGACCTCTGGGTGTCCGAGCAGATGGGAACAGACAAAAACATTGGTGTAGCTTGGTTCTGGGTCAGTCTTCTTTCACTAATGCCAAGGGCAAAGTCTGACACAAAACTCTGTGGCCAGCCTCCCAGTTTGCAAGGTGTGTGCAGGTCTTCAATCAAGCAGATGCTTCCAATCTGGAGTGGGGCAAATCTCTATTTCTGCAGTCTTTGGAGGCAACAGCAGAAGACAGAACCCAGGTATTATGCCCTTCACCTTTCAACTTCACCCTCAGATGACTAACAATTACCAGCTACCATTAATATTAAATAGGAGAGAAAGAAATGTGATCCTCTCGTTGCTCTTCACATTCCACAATATCACAAACAATTTGTCATATTGGGAGGGGCAGAGGCAGGAGGAGCATTAATTATTGATACTTGGGAACAGATGGCTTTTCTTGTACCAGGGCAGTGAAATGTAAGAGGAGCCTGTGGGTGAGGATGTGAGGATTAGATGGGCAGACACATATCAGATAATCAGCCTTCAAGTGGAACAGGAACCTTCCTCCTAGAACCAGCTCCAATGGGCTGCAGAGCTCTCAACAACAGCCCTGGCTGCAGAAACAAATCCACTGACATCTGAATTACTGAGGCTTCACCAGAACCTTTCAACGCTCCCTCACCTCTGTACAGAACATCCTGGACATGACAACTGATGGCTTCCAGACAGCAGAGGCCTGGCAAATCAGGCACCAGCAGCTCTCTCTAGGAGACTTTACTGGTTGCATTTCAGGTGTTCATCCTCATCTGTCCTGTGTCATACAATGTCTACTCCTTAGACCACATACAGTGCCCAAGAGTGACCTCCTCCAGTCTTCCAATGGCCTTGGATCCCATTTGGGGTGCTGGCTTCCAAAATCAGAAATCCAAGTGATGTGGATCTGAAACTTCAACCAGAGACTCTGTTAACCAACTCTTTGCCAAGTCCCATTGATTTGTGTAAGGATGATGAGCAAGAAAACTTAATTTTTGTCAGCCGGAGTGGTGTCCTTGAGGACAGAGACACACACCAGGTTGTAAAACAAGCTTGGCAAGGACACCTGCTGTGGGTGTCCCCATGTCCAAGAGCTGATCTTGGGACTGACATCCTTATGAGACAGGAGGAACAACTGGGCAAGAGTGATTCTCCACCAAAGGCAGCTGATTCACCAGAGTGAAAACAGTGGCACCAAAAGCTTCTCCTGAAACTTTCTTGAAGAGTCTTTGTACTCACTGCTGGATTCAGACATCTGCAGCCTGACTGTTCACTCTGGCATAGTTGTCTCTTTGCTGGAAGACTAAGGGACCAGCTGTACTGCCTCAGAGCTGGGCCTGGGGAGCCCAGGATCCTGTCTCTGGCAGTGGTTATAAGCAGATGCCCAGAACTGGACAAGCCAATGGTGATACCTCCTCTACTACTGCAAAAGTTATATTCCGTAGCTATTTTCCATTCACGGATTTCACAAGCCAGATATCACCTCCATTCAATTTACTTCTCTGGACATACCCCTTAAATCCCAAATAGGCACTCATTTTTCCCAGTAAGGACTGACTAAATCTATGGTTACTCCACTGAGCTAAGCAGATTCTCTTGCCACCTCCACTGGCCCAGAAGGTACCTCAGGACCAAAATGTCAAGTTCCTTGGTATACTGAAGAGCTCCTCACTGCCTTTTCCTAAACTCTGTTCTCTTAGCCTCTACTGAAAGCTCGTTCCAAACTTTCATTACTCTGATAATTCTCATTTCTCAAGCTGACTAATCACTGATTCCTCTCAGTCTGCCTAGGGTCATGCAGACTGCAGTCTGTGAGAATACTAAGACATGTACAGTCTTGTGATTTGGAAAAACACAACTTCCCAGCTTTCCTCCTGGTCTGAATCAATGGTAAAATGCTTGAGGTGAACAAATGCCAGGTGCCAGGAGGCAGCTACTGTTCATGAACAATACAACTTTTCACAGTGTGGAGTAGGATAGAGCAAGTTTTCCTATCCAGAACAATAGAGGGAGAAGCAATCTTAGGAAGACCTGGGCCACATCTGTGCTGGGAAAGAAGGAGCTCTCCCAAAAAAGCAGCAAACCTTCCCACTATAGAAGCCTTGACCAGTGTCCAAGTTTGCTTTAGTTTGGTACAGGAAATGGACAGACCTTAAGGCGTCTATGCTGCTGCATTATACCAATATGAAAGCTTTTGTTCCTCCAAAAATGCTGTTTGCCTCCCTGTGACAGTAGCAGAAAATGTGTTTAATGTGGACCTGTTTTTACAGAGCAGTCTCCACAGAGCCTGGGTGTGTTTACACCAGTGAGGTGCTGCTGAACAGTCAGCTGAGAGCTCAGGCACACAGGCTGATCTCCCCCATCCTTCCCAGGGCCTGAGGAGGGGATCACCTCGCAAAAGAACCCTATGGATTAGAGAGCAATACAATGGATCAAAAAACAGGAGAGGGCACATCTTTTCAACCCCAGAGCAGAATTGCTCCCTTTCACACTTCTTGAGTAAACATTTATGTGAATCCTTTCCCTGCCACTCAAAGAGGAAATTACATTATATACACATTCCAGAGAACGTTTCCCAGCAGTAATAACCATTTTTAACATATATTGAGCCTGGGAGAATGTCTAGAAGTTTACAGGCAAATGCATGGGTGGAGCTGTGTTTTGATCCACACAGGAAAGCTGTAAGCTGACATCACAATCCCAGTCAGGCTCTGGAGTCGAGGTGGCCAGCGGGCTTGGGAGGAGGATGTGCTTGGCAGGTGCTCCCTACCTCTTTGATGGCAGACATCTTGATGTTCTCATAGTAGTGCAGCGGTGCATTGGGTGAACTCATGTCATAGCCAAACCCAGCTACCGCCACCTCATCACAGTTGTGCAGCGCCATGGTTATTGCTACGCTTCCCAAGGTGGGGATGTTCTGAGAGGAGAGAAAGCAGGAATGGAAGTCATTAGCAGGTTGCCATTTTTATCATCAAAGATTTCCTCTTATTGTCTCTGCTCAGGGGGAGACTGCTGCTACTAAGCAGAAAATCAGGAATGTGGTATTTGGCTACACTCAACCTGCCAGCTTGCAGGTTTGATAGCCTCCCAGCTTGTAAAGAAATTAATGCAAATGGTCAGAGTCCCCTTCCACAACTTTTCTGCCCTGAGAACAGGGCAGCAGATGAGCTGGAAGATGAATCACACTGGATACATTAGCTTTCTGAAATTAAAATAGATGTAGATAGTGGATTACAATGTTAATGCAAATTACTGTCTTCCAGCTAGGCTAAGGAAGAATACTCATCCCAAACAGGTCACCATACAGGAGCAAAAGTGAGGAACAGCACACACCCCTTATTTTACTGATGGCAAAAGTTTGAGGTTGTTAAACAGCTCTGGGAGATGGAGAGGAGATCAGGCAGTGATCAGGGGCACCTTGACAGTGAAGGGGCACTCTGACCTGTGCTATTCCCTCTGAATCACACACCAGGAAAACAAGGAGCAGTGGGAAGCCAGTCAGAGATGGGTGGCAGCATCCAGGGACACCCCAACTATCCTTTCCCATCTGCTGACCTGCAATTTGCACTCAAGTCCAGCCTCAGCCCTTCCCATTTCACTGGGCTCTGCCAAGGCCCTGTGACAGCAGTGCTGTACAGCTACAACTCCTCCTGTGTGTTCTGCTGGGACAACAAACTGCTTCCAGTGTAAAATCCTAGCTCACTGACTTTCCTAGCTTCCCTTTAGCCAGATAAATGCAGAGGCAACTTTGCCCCAGGGGCTAGGGAGAGGCTGAGAAATGCACACACATCTTCATTTGTAGAGTATCCAACATTGGCCATATTGGAAATATCCTGAATTCAGAGGACATGTTCAGACAGTCACCAAGGGTGACAGCTCTTAGCTGAGATGTAGAAACCAAGTGCACACTTATATTTTTCATTTACAATGGTTCACCCTGAACTGGTGAGCAATGCTATTGCATGTTCAAAAACGTTGGGAACAATGTTTTGAGTTTCTGCTTCTCATTCAAAGGAACTTGGTTTTGTCAGCACACGACCTTGCCCACTTCTGACTGCCTGACCAGTCCAAAGAACCATGTTTTCCAAGCAAAGAATGCCACCCATATCCCAGCTGAGAAGTGCAGAGCTGGAAGCACAACTCATGTGCTATGTAGAACTCCACTACAGTGCACCAGAATTGCTCTAATCTGAAAACAAATGGGCAAAAACTGCTTATGGCTAAATCATTGAGACATTAAGTTCAAATATTTACAGCACAACAGTAAGAGAGCACATCTGAAATGACAACATCTTTCTACATCCTCCTGTTCCAGCTCTAGATGTTGGGAAAAACAGCAGAGTAATTTTGTTCTTGCTGCTTAATTTCAGTTGATACTCACAAAAACAATACTGGTTTTATTCTAGTTAATTTTGTAAACTGTTAATTCATGGGCGGCCAAAAAATATCAAGTAGGGGTTTCAAAAAAATGGAAAAAGTTTATTAGGCAAGGATAAGAACATTGCCCCAAATTTCAAAATATCCAAGAGCATCCTGTCTTTCCAGACATGACAGTTTTAATTCTGATTTCTCAGCTTTATGTTTTGCATAGAAGATGACATTTGTATGTGGCTGGAATTGCATCAGCTGGTAAGCGGACGTGCCACAAAGCCCTTTCCCTCAGCAGAGCTGTAGTTACAGTGTCCAAAACACAGTGAGTAAATGGTTACATCCTCGAGACTGTGTCGTCACTGGGAACACGATGGTGTTAACACCACCCACACTTGCACTGGGCCCATTCCCACGCTACCGCTCAAGGGAGACACAGGGTCTTTGCCTGGAGGGAATTTCACTGGCCAAGTCAACATTTAAGAGCTAACTTTCTAATGTGAGTCTTGCAAACCACAGAGAATTAATCACACTGCCCAACCTTACGGGAGGACTGCCAAACTTTCTTCCAGGCGTACTCTGTTTGGAGAATAACAGTAGACAAAAATCGAAAGTGAACTTGCCTTTGGTCGCCAAATATCTGACTTTATTCTTTCTGTAATACATCCAATGGTATTTATGGGAAAATAGGAGGTAATTTTTTCATCTGCTTCTGCTCTTCAGTAGTTCCTGAGATGCCACTATCTTAGTACCACCTGCTATCTCTCAAAAATATTTAAAATACCAGGGACTACCTACCTTCCTAACATCTAGAACTGTAGTAGATGTCTCTGATTTGGCCCCTACAACTATCAGAAATTCACAGGGTATCCTTAGCAAAAGAGTTTTGCATTGCCCTTAAATCACATTTGGAAACTGATGATCTGATGACAGTTTTATATTAAATTATACCTCATTGATGTTAGCACCCTCCAACATTGCCGTAGCTACAGCATAATATGTGTCCCCCTTGAAGACAGAATTCTGCAGCCTTTACTGGTGAGATGCAGCCTCACATCTCACTGCTGCAGGCAGAATCCTGTGGGCTACAGAGGTGCCTCTTGAAAATACTGTCAAGATTATCACCCCTGCTATTCACTGAGGGCAGTAACTGTCAGGGCAGCACAGGGGTGCCTGCAGAGCCCACCCATAGTAAATGGTGAGGATAACAGCACCTGCCAAAGAGAAGAGCATGGTACAAAGTGTGTGTGCACCCACATGTGCCCTGATCACACAGAGGTAACTGGGCATTTGCTCCAAAGTGTTTATCTTCTTTAAAAAAGGAGCAACCTTTAATCAGAGGGATTAAACACTAACTGGGCAATTACAGTCTTGAAGAAAAAGGAGCTGTCTTGAACAAAAGTATAAAAAAAGCACAACTGTTGGTTAACTAAGTGTCATTAGTACATCAGCACAGTTCTTTGGTCCTGATTTAGTTTAAGCTACAGAAACTGAGCCTTCTTCTCCTGTGGCAGCCTGTTGAACTTTTGCTATTCCTTCCCCCTGAAAATGAAGCACTGTCTCATGCTCAGCTTGTGGCATGGGAAAGACAACACCTTGTAGGATCTAGGGACGTGTTCCAGGCTGTGCTGCAGAGAATGCAACAGAGCAGCACTCTGCAGGTCCAAGGGAAAGGGCTCTCCCCTCCTTTCCTCTTAGCAAAGAAGTGGCAAATAAGAGGAGACATGTCTTAGAGAGGAAATGGCTATAACTACTCCCTGGCTGCATCTACACAGCTCCCAGGCTTTTCTGATTGTACATAAATTCATCGGCTGCTAACCTCTAATCTGGACCTAAAGGACTGTATACAACTTATGGGCCATGCTGGGGGACAGGTCACACCAAACGAAGCTGGGCATCATGGACATGGCTGTGCCAAATCTGGCTTGCTATGCCCTGCACAATGCGTCAGTGCTATCTCACCACACACACACCCTTGTGCCGTGCCCCAAAGACATACCAAAGCAGCCACCACACCTCCTGTGTTGAGTTACGAAAATAAAACTCTCTCAAACAACTGAGCAGGCCTCTTGTTATTTGAGGCCTTTGCTAAGACAAAATCCCCAAAATTCCACCATCTTGCCTCAGGAATAATATAGTGTTAGACCAGTTCAAAGCCTGTCTTCCTGCTCATGACCCTCTGAATGCTGGGGTGTTCCTGTATCACCAAGCAGTGCTGCTTTCAACCAAATGGTTGAAGAGCTACAGCCCAACAGCAGCCAGTGCCGAGGCAGGAGCTTCCTGGGATGCCTCCCAGCTGCACAGAGACTGCCCAGTGCAGGTTAGACCATGGGGCTGCCTGGGATGGTCCAACATGACCACTGCTCCAGATGTGGCTGTGATGAGTCTCTGACCTGAAGTAGTGCCCAGCAAGCAGTGTGAGCTGGGGATGGCAAAGCCCAGAAGTCATTGGCAGCCCTCTCCCCTTGTCAATTCTCTGCCACAAGCATTGAGCTTGGCCTTGCAAGCTCTGCATTGCCTGCTGTGTGTCAATGGTTTCTGTCCAGGCTGGGGCCCATGGGGGTACCAGGCTTAGCATCCCCTCTCCAGCACCTGTAAACAACTACAAGGGCAACCTCACTGGATAACGTGTCCAGAACTGAAAGTCCACATTTCCAAGCTTGGCCTGCTTTTCTAAGACCAAACATATGGAAAATGTAATATCTAATATAATGCTCCCCAGAGATCAGCCCTTTGCCTGGTCCCATTTGAGAGAACACAGCAGACTGACAGATGAGCCAGGGATGACACTAAAAGGCCATGTGACAAACAGAGGCAGAAAACACAGCAGTGGTGAGTGACACGTCACCACAGCAGTGCTGGAGAAAGCCTGCCTGAGCCTCTGGAGCATGGCTCCTTCCAGGGGTGCCTGCCCTCCATGGGTAAGGTGAGCACATGCATGGTGGATTGTGGTGAGAAAAGTGACAGAGGCAAAGATTTCTGGTCTTGTGCTGTGTCAGGGACCACAGCAAGCTCCATGCAATGCAAACACAGCCAGTTTGCACCACCAGGTAAGGGGACCAGAAATGCCTTTAGCAGTACAGACATAGGACAGGTTCTTCTAACTGCTCCTATGCTGTTCTCTGCTGCAGGCAGGAAGACAAAAGGCTTCACCTCAAGACACTGATGTTTTATCTTTCATTCTGCCCCCTGAAGAGGCCTTAAAGACTGACTTCTACTTACATAAGGAAAGAAGTCAGTCAGCAGAGAAGAACACTGGAACTCCTCTGGACTCTGTTGAGGCTGACCATTACCTCATGGGCTTGTGCTGAAGATCCAGTGCTGGTGACTGAACCAGGTCTGGAACTGCTCTTTGCTTGTTGCATGTGAAAAGCTCTTGATGCTTTTCATTCCATGCCCGGGTCATTCCTGTGTCACTGCCTGCTGCACTGGAAGGAAATGACTGCTGTAAATCTGTTTTTAGAAATATTTGACTCCCTTAATATGTTAAATGAATTCCAGTTATTTATGGGATTTTACTTAGTTCAGGGTAAGACTTATTGGATTGTT